GGCTTTCTTTGCTAGTAAATTGAGAAAAATGCTGTGTAAAACACAAAGATAACAAATCACACCAGCAGTACATGTTATTCTTTAGAAAAACTTTGCTGCATAAATATAAAAAATGTCAAATTAAAGGAATTTGTACCTTTTAATTTATTTGTGATACTAAGGTTTTTGAAATAAAAAGTTGAATGGATTATGCAGCTTCAACCCTGTGATGATGCAGTTTTTACCTAGATACACCTGGCCTAGTATTTATGGGGGTTTTTTTACGCTTCCACAAGGTAGGACCGATGACGATTATGAATACATGCATTTAAACATGCAGGCAAAAATCTTTACAAACTATTTCCTCAAAAGGAAATTTAGTCAACACAGTTACATTTCTAAAAGGAGAGAGAGGAAGAGCAACTTTTTTAATCCCATGCCCTTAGCATTAGGGTTATTAAATCATTTACCACCAATAATTTCATTTCCTCTTTCATAAACTGGTGCTGTACTTTAGTTTTAAAGCCTGTCTCTCTATCATGCAAAGAAAATGAAACAGATATTACAGAAACTAACAAAATGCTTACATGCTACAGATTTTACTTCTGGGTTTTTTGTGTCTCTGCTCTTTCATCTCAAACCCCCAGCTGATCAGGGCAGACGGCAGTTACCCCTAAACATGGTCTTGGAAGTGCTCAAAGTTTCCTCCTCTTTTAAGGGAGCTTCTTTACTACTTGTATATTCAGACCGAGGGATTGCTGCACAGTGTAAGATGTAAATAGTTGGGTTTCCTGAATTTGATCAAAATTTTATTTTATAAATGCATTTCTTCTAAATTGTGGGGAAGTGCAGGGCTCTTGATACTCTCTCAAGAGATAGGCCTGTTAGGGATTTTCTGAAAATAAACAGGGAAACTGGTTCTGGTCGCGCTCGATTGCTTCAGAGTCTGGATAGTCTTGAACTTGGTGTAGGTATCTCTAGCCCGCAATCCTTTAAAGACATGACAAACTGAGTCTAAACAGGGTATTTAAGAAGATGGGAGCCCCTGCAGTTGTAGCTTAACGGAATTCATGAGCAATCATTCCTCCTTTCACACAGTAGATCGAGGCTTAATCTGAATACCAGTAATTGTAGCTCCTACCTGCTCCAACTATTCATCTGATCCACCTTCGCGTTTCAGTATGTAACCTGCCTTCAGACCAAACATCAGTGCCAGATTATTGCAGATATTACCTGCAGCTGTTAG